ACCATATAACAACACTATATGACCCCACGGACATACCAGCCACCATATAACACTAGATGACCCCACGGACATACCAGCCACCATATAACAACACTATATGACCCCACGGACATACCAGCCACCATATAACGGACATACCACCAAGGGACAGCACGGGATATACCAGCCACCAGACCCCAACATACACTATATGACCCACGGGACACGGACATACCAGCCACCATATAACAGTAGTGAAGTTTGTGACGTAGAGCGTCTGCGCCATTTGGACAGGTGAATCACCTGTGGTGACTCACCTGTCCAGGTCGGCTGTGGGATCCATCTCAAAGAGAGAGAGAGAGGTGGTCCACTCGCGGACGTTCGACGTCACCTGGGACGTTCCACCTCACCATGTGTTAAATGTCAGGATGTAAGGATATGTGGAGTATGTGCAGGTGTGTAAGTTGAAAGTAAATATAATGGGAGGGTAGAGTTAAGCATATGTAGATATATAGTAGGTTAAAAGAAAATGTAGGGAAGGGGATGAGAATGTTGAGAGGAAGAGTGGCCATCCCCCCCCCACCCCCCCACCCAAACATACACACACTCACACACACACATGAGAACACATGGGCAGGAGACCGGGTAAATAAGATGTAAGGGGTGTGAAGTGGTCCTCGACGGGAAGAGTGATAAGAGGGGTGTGGGAGGGGGATGGCCGAGGGTAGCCATCTTGTCACCACCGCTGTCTGCAGTCAACCCTCCCCTCCCTCCCCCCCCCTCTCTCTCTCTCTCTCTCTCTCTCTCTCTCTCTCTCTCTCTCTCTCTCTCTCTCTCTCTCTCTCTCTCTCTCTCTCTCTCTCTCTCTCTCTCTCTCTCTCTCTCTCTCTCTCTCTCTCTCCTCTCTCTCTCTCTCTCTCTCTCTCTCTCTCTCTCTCTCCTCTCTCCCTCTCTCTCTCTCCCTCTCCCCTCACTCTCTCTCTCCCACTCTCTCTCTCCCTCTCCTCTCTCTCTCTCTCTCTCTCTCTCTCTCTCTCTCTCTCTCTCTCGCGCGCGCGCGCAGGATTCGTAATTCTGTGGCGCGGGTTCGATTCCCGCACGAGGCAGAAACAAATGGGCAAAGTTTCTTTCACCCTGAATGCCCCTGTTACCTAGCAGTAAATAGGTACCTGGGAGTTAGTCAGCTGTCACGGGCTGCTTCCTGGGGTGTGTGTGTGGTGTGGAAAAAAAAAAAAAAAAAAAAAAAAAAAAGTAGTTAGTAAACAGTTGATTGACAGTTGAGAGGCGGGCCGAAAGAGCAAAGCTCAACCCCCATAAAAACACAACTAGTAAACACAACTAGTAAACACATGCTACAGACTTGCTGCACATGCTCTCCCCATCCTTACACCCCCACATTTAACACATGGTGAACGTCCCAGGTGACGTGGAACGTCCGTGAATGGGCCACCTCTCTCCCCTTGAGATGGATCCCACAGCCTACCTGGACAGGTGTCACCACTTGTCCAAATGCGCGGACGCTCTACGTCTCAAACTTCACTACTTTTAACAACACAAGGTGACCTACGGACATACCAGCTACAATACCTATACATACCCGCTGGCCACACACAGGACCTACATTCCCGCTGACCACACACAGGACCTACAAACCCGCTGACTACACACAGGACCTACAAACCCGCTGACTACACACAGGACCTACATACCCGCTGACCACACACATGACCTACATACCCGCTGACCACACACAGGACCTACATACCCGCTGACCACACACAGGGCCTACATTCCCGCTGACCACACACAGGACCTACATACCCGCTGACCACACACTGGACCTACATACCCGCTGACCACACACAGGAGCTACATACCCGCTGACCACACACTGGACCTACATACCCGCTGACCACACACTGGACCTACATACCCGCTGAGCACACACAGGACCTACATAGCCGCTGACCACACACAGGACCTACATATCCGCTGACCACACACAGGACCTACATACCCGCTGACTACACACAGGACCTACATACCAGCTGACTACACACAGGACCTACATACCCGCTGACTACACACAGGACCTACATACCCGCTGACTACACACAGGACCTACATACCCGCTGACTACACACTGGACCTACATAGTGTTGACTTAACAATGGTCTTCAGTACCCAGTTTTCTTTGCATCTTTCCTTTTGATAATAATTCCTTTTACTTTTTAACGAAATTAATACGTTTGCTTTGCGAATATTTTTACAGAAATATTTAGATATTGTTTCCGTTTGTTTAAGTTCCACCCTCACATAATTAAGGTATCCTACGAGACCGTTCCGGAAGCTATTTATTTAATTTGAATGGAAATATCTGATTACAAAATTTGGAAATGCTAAATCAAACATTTCATGCATTTCAGGTCGGTTATTGTGTGAATTAATAATTTAGTTCTTCTTAAGTCTGTTAGTCTACGAGTCTTTCATTTCTATTGCACTTGAACGGCGTAGTAGATTAAGTTGAAAGTTAAACTATTGTTTCACCATATTTTGGTGCTGTTCAAAATTGTTGGTATGTGAGGGGAAAGGGAAGTTTACTGAGGCGCATTTGTTGAGGGGTAGATGGGTAGTTTCTGTTTCTATTGTATGAAACTTCCTGACTTACAAAATCAGTTTCAGACACGACATGATCAAAGAACCTGTCGACTTGATAGAATGCTGCATAGGGTTTTCAGGTTAATTCAAATCATTTCATTTGATATATGTACTAAAAATTTATATTACTTTGTGATTCCAGAGGACCCTTCCATTTTATTATTATTCCTAAACTCTGTAAAGGTTAGTGAAGAGAAAATGTAGATACTGAAGTTCATATACTTATAATTTTAATTGAACCCAACCGATCCACCAACCAGTCGACCAGTCAACCAACCAGCAGAACCAACTAAACTTATCTTCCATAAACATTCACTGATGGAGAGTTAAAGCTAGTCTTGAACACTATAACAGGTCACTATAACATTATCTACATCGACGAACAATACAGTGGACTTAAGGTATTGTATCACAGTTTATCAGAGAAGGTTCATAGAAATGTTGACGTGAGGGAGGAGAGAGGATGTAAATGAGGTGATGACAGTTGCTCGACTTTGGAACTGGAGGAAGCTTTTGATTAACTTAGTGACAAACTTTAACTGCACGGAACGCAACCAACGAATACTTGTTTGTGTCAGTATCCATGACAAGTGGACTGATACTCATGTCACCAACCGTTTGTGGGAGTGAACACAGCAAGTGGACTGATATTAAGTTGATAAAATGTTCAGGTAATGGTAGTTGGTCATATATGGTCAACACAGTTGGTGATCAACAGTATTTAGCTTTGATTACCTTGGTTTATAATCTTGGGTTTATTGTGCGTCCTCACTCCGTCCTAAGGCGCCCAATCACTTGGGCTGGACGGTAGAGCGACGGTCTCTCTACATGCAAGTCGGCGTTCAATCGCGCACCATTCCTCCACCCCCCCCCCCCCCCGTTCCATCCCAAATCCTTATCCTGTCCTCTTCCCAGTGCTATATACTCGTAATGGCTTGGCTCTTTCCCCTGATGATTCCCTCCCTCCGTCCCAAGGCGTATCTACTGGCTTCAGAGACTTTATGTCAATATCACAAGCCTTTTGTTACCCTAAATTTGTCACCAAAACGAATGAATGCCTCAAGGAACGTAATTCATGTAGTAGACAGCTCTTTTTCCAATGAGAATCAGAAAAAGTCACGTTCTTCTTGATTTTTAATTGAATGGCATTTTCTCTATTACCATAACAAGGTTATTGAAGCCTGATTCTTCCTCACACAGAGAGGAAAACTATGAAAGTATTCATCTTCTGTCTCTCAGGAGGGTAAAGTTTTACAGTGATCACACGCATCATGTTCCATGCTAAACTGTGCTTCTTTACATTACACAACCGGAGAAAATTAGGTCACTAATAAGCGACATAAGATGCTTAATAGTTTAACAAGTTACGTTTATCTGATGTTAAACGAGTGTGTGCAGTGACAAATAGCAAATTAATTGATGAAATATATTGTGAGGACTGTAATAAGAAGTGAGTGTGAACGTTTGTGTGGTGAAGGCAGCAGGGACAACTCCAGGTAGCTGTAAAGTGTGTGTAGTGACGTGGGAACACGTGGCTAGCACCAGGGTGTGTTGTTAAACAGTCCAAGGGTAAAGTGCCTAGTGTGAGCCGGGAAGTGTGATATAATACAAGAGTGATATGAGCGAGTTGAAGGGTGACTTCTCCAGGTCTCAGTGAGTGGTGTTGTGAGGATGTCTGACACGCACTAGAGACGAGGAAGGTCATGTGATGGACCTATGTATGCTGCTCAGGAGGAGGTGTGGAGGAGGAGGAGGACAAGGGGTGAGGAGAGGAGTGTGAGGGCTCTTACAGGAGGAGGAGGAGGACAAGGGGTGAGGAGAGGAGTGTGAGGGCTCTTACAGGAAGAGGAGGAGGACAAGGGGTGAGGAGAGGAGTGTGAGGGCTCTTACAGGAGGAGGAGGAGGACAAGGGGTGAGGAGAGGAGTGTGAGGGCTCTTACAGGAGGAGGAGGAGGAGGACAAGGGGTGAGGAGAGGAGTGTGAGGGCTCTTACAGGAGGAGGAGGAGGACAAGGGGTGAGGAGAGGAGTGTGAGGGCTCTTACAGGAGGAGGAGGAGGACAAGGGATGAGGAGTGGAGTGTGAGAGCTCTTACGTGAGGAGGAGGAGGACAAGGGGTGAGGAGAGGAGTGTGAGGGCTCTACACCTCCACACTTAGGATGGGGGAAGGCTGTGGGAAGAGACCATCCGCTGGCATGCGGCATCACAAAGAAAAAACGAAACAAAAAATGAATGAGTGTATTTAGAAGCTGTGAGCGTAGAGGAGTCTGACGCCACCACCCACAGGAACCTGGCGCCACCTCTCACAGGAGCCTGACGCCACTTCCCACAGGAACCTGGCGCCACCTCTCCACTCGCCACTTACCAGTTGGCGCCACCTCCATGGGGAGCAAGGCTGTGGCGCCAAGAGACCATCCGCTGGCATGCGGCATCACAAACAGAAAAAACGAAACAAAAAGGATGCCTGAGTGTATTCCCACAGAAGCTGGCGAGCGTAGAGGAGTCTGACGCCACCACCCACAGGAACCTGGCGCCACCTCTCACAGGAGCCTGACGCCACTTCCCACAGGAACCTGGCGCCACCACCCACAGTAGCCTGGCGCCACCTCCCACAGGAGCCTGGCGCCACCTCCCACAGGAGCCTGACGCCATCTCCCACAGGAGCCTGACGCCATCTCCCACAGGAGCCTGGCGCCACCACCCACAGGAGCCTGGCGCCACCTCCCACAGGAGCCTGACGCCATCTCCCACAGGAGCCTGACGCCATCTCCCACAGGAGCCTGGCGCCACCTCCCACAGGAGCCTGACGCGGAGCCTGACGCCATCCCACAGGAGCCTGGCGCCACCTCCCACAGTAGCCTGGCGCCACCTCCCACAGGAGCCTGGCGCCACCTCTCACAGGAGCCTGGCGCCACCTCCCACAGGAGCCTGGCGCCATCTCCCACAGGAGCCTGACGCCATCTCCCACAGGAACCTGGCGCCACCTCCCACAGTAGCCTGGCGCCACCTCCCACAGGAGTCAGCAAACGCTTCCTTCCAACCTCGGTATTAACAATCTTGAGTCCAATTATCAAGTTATATCTTAATCTTACGAGACCACGGCTCGTGTCAAATGCTTAATTCCAACAATGAAACTGTTAAGCAAGTTTTCACATAAGCAACATAAATATATTTCTAGGGATTTATTATATTATATGAAAGTACATGACTAGTGAGGCGCAAAGTAGAATTTTGAAAATAGAAATTAGGTTGGAAATAGCGTTTACGAGTTCCTGCGATCAGGTTTGGCACCGCGTGGTATTTGTAAAAGAAAATCGACTAAAAAAAATTTAGGAGAAATTTTTTGTTATGAATTATTAATTTGAGTAATTACGTCTCTAAACTTCTCATGAAATTATTTGAATTATATCAGGAGATTACATATCGTGTTTTAGTGGAGACTAAAGGCAGGGTGTGACTAAGAGAGTGACTACTGAGAGCAGAGAGGTGATGAGGCTGGTCCTCTGCGGTGAGACGCACTGCAAGTGGCTAACAATGCACCCCAACCTCACTATCAAATATATATTGATGATTGAGGCAAAACATATAGAAAGAAAATATTGATCTAAATAAACTGACGAAAGCGTAAACAAAATTAAGATCTTGGAAGATTCTTAGGAAGATGATCTTGATCTAGGAAGATGCTTAGGAAATATGATTGAATGGTCAATGAGTGATTGTAAATAAAAGTGTGAATGTTGACCTGTCAGCTGCACATCAACTCGTTGATGGTGATGGAAGATTCGACCTCATGAAGTGATGGGGAATGAAATATTTGATAATGAGCATCAGTGTGATGAGATTTTTATAGCAGGAATGAGAGCCTTGGGAGATGAAGTGGTGGAGACCAGTGATAGTGATATCTTGTGGTTATCTTGAGATGATTTCGGGGCTTTTTAGTGTCCCCGCGGCCCGGTCCTCGACCAGGCCTCCACCCCCAGGAAGCAGCCCGTGACAGCTGACTAACTCCCAGGTACCTATTTACTGCTAGGTAACAGGGGCATTCAGGGTGAAAGAAACTTTGCCCATTTGTTTCTGCCTCGTGCGGGAATCGAACCCGCGCCACAGAATTACGAGTCCTGCGCGCTATCCACCAGGCTACGAGGCCCCTAGAGGCCAACAGTTGACGGGAAGTGAGCACACTCAGCCGTCCTGTGGAATCGCCTCTAAAACTCCCAGTCTTGTGACTGTCCAGTCCATCCTACTGTTTTGAGTGTGCTTATAGTAAAGCTGTGGATCATTGTACGTATATTGACGTAATCGACAATTATAAAGTAGAATTCAGTGCTATTGAATTTGAACAAACCGGAAATGGTATTGTATTTATGTTTCTAATAAAACCTAAACTAACAATCCTAGGCCTGATACGCGCTATCTGAGGACTAATATAGTACATATATGTGGCATCTAAGCCAAGTTATAATTTAAGTTTAGTTTTTAGCTTTATTTGTTTCGGACTCTATAAAATGAGTGGTACCAAATTCTACCAATAGTCCATTACGTCATTATATATACGATGGTCCAGGTATTTACAATGAGTACCATCTAAACAGGAGGATGGGTTGGAGTAGCATTATTATGGTCAATACCTGCTTCTTGCTTGATACCTGTTTTATGGGGTTCTTGGAGTTCTTCTACTTCCCAAGTCCGCCCCGAGGCCAGGCTTGACTTATGAGAGATTGGTTCACAGGTCCGTTGCTTGGAGCGGCCCGTAGCCCCACATATCCACCACAGCCCGGTTTGTCCGGCACTCATTCGAGAAAATTATCTAGTTTTGTTGACCAGACCACACACAGAAGGTGAAGGGACGATGACGTTTCGGTCCGTCCTGGACCGTTCTCAAGTCGAATGTCCAGGTCCAATGGTCCAGGACGGACCGAAACGTCGTCGTCCCTTCACCTTCTAGTGTGTGGTCTGGTCAACATTCTTCAGCTACGATATTGTGACTCATCGCCTGTATCTAGTTTTCTCTTGAAGATGTCAACGGTTGTTCCGGCAATATTTCTTATACTCGCTGGGAGGACGTTGAACAACCGCGGACCTCTGATGTTTATACAGTGTTCTCTGATTGTGCCTATGGCACCCCTGCTCTTCACTGGTTCTATTCTGCATTTTATTCCATATCGTTCACCCCAGTATATTGTTATTTTACTGTGTGGATTTGGGACCTGGCCCTCCAGTATCTTCCACGTGTATATTATTTGATATCTCTCCCGTCTCTTGTCTAGCGAGTACATATGCAGGCGATGAGTCACAATAACGTAGCTAAAAAATGATGACCAGACCACACACTAGAAGGTGAAGGGACGACGACGTTTCGGTCCGTCCTGGACCATTCTCAAGTCGATTGTGGTGTGAGTACTCAAAATGTAGTGAGTACATTTTGAGAGCTTTGAGATGGTCCCAATAATTTAGGTGCTTTATTGCGTCTGTGTATGAAGTATATCTTCTCTGTCTTCCCTGTTTCAGCAATCTCCCCTGCTCTGAAGGGGAAAGTGAGTACTGAACAGTACTCAAGATGGGTCAGTTCAAGTGATTTGTATAGTACAACCATTGTGATGGGATCCCTGGATTTGAAAGTTCTCGTAATCCATCCGATCATTTTCTGACTGACGCAATATTTGCTTGGTTATGCTCCCTTAACGTTTGGTCCAATAATGTCTAGGACTTTAAGGATGAATAGCAGGGAGGATCTACAGCCACACATCTCAACAAGGCTGCTGGGGTCAACACTTCTTGATGGAATTCGTCCAATTGTCACTTGGAAAAGTTCATATTCACAAGAAAACAAACATTTTTATTTCGGCAATATTTCTTTTACATAGAGTAATTAGATTGTAGACCCGGTGGCTTCTGATGTTCTCACAATTTATCTACCTTTTCTGTCTTCTCGTCAAAGAGAAGATTTCAGTACCTAGAAGTGGTTTCTGTAATTCAGATGTTTTTATGTCTCTATATGATGAGATTTATAGATGCATAAAATACAGAATACAGACACATAAGTATCTTTATCCTTTCTGTTTCAGAATTCAATCCTACTTCAATATTCTAGCGACCTTTCGTAGCTTTTGCAAAAATGACAAGCTGGTATTTGTAAACTGTTTATGTTTGATATGTGATGGTAAAGAGTAATAGCACAGAAGAATACTTTGGGGGCACAGAGAAGGAATGGAAGCACACGAAGAGTGCTGTTATTATGTTAATTATTATTTTGTCTGAATTGTACACATTGTTCATGACTAAAGTTGTCTGGATCTTCAACCATCATTCTATGTATTAGGGTGTAAACAAGTTTCAAACTGTTTGTTCCTACAGAATTTCACTAATTTATTTGTCATTCTCTGTGTAACTATAACGTTGGTGGATGCTTTTGCTTGAGTTTATATTGGTAACTATTTAGGATTTTTTGCTCTCATTGATAGCTTTCTGTTCCATCTGTATTTCTTCTGTCCTGTATTGGGAGCGTTAGCGTCTGGTTTATTTCTTCTGTCTTGTATGAGAGTGCTAAATTCTGCTTTATTTCTTTAGTCTCACTGTTAACATCCGTGGTGGTCCAGGTGGATGGGTACCGTACCCGATGGTCCAAGTGGATGGACATCGTACCCGATGTTCCATTAGATGTGTACCATCCCCGATGGTTCAAATGGATGGACATCATACCAGATGGTCCAATTAGATGGGTACCATCCCTGATGGTTCAAATGGATGGACATCATACCAGATGGTCCAATTAGATGGGTACCATCCCTGATGGTTCAAATGGATGGACATCATACCAGATAGTCCAAGTGGATGGGCACCTCCCCGATGGTCCTGATGGATGGGCACCTCCCCGATGGTCCTGATGGCCTCGATGGTAATATTTATTTCTCTTAGTTAGGACATGTATGAATTTTGTTATACGATTATGTAGTGCTTGATATGTAAATGTCCCTGATTATGTTATTGTTCGTAAAGATGTGATCGAGTAGATTTTCGTTCCAAGTTTGCTCTGTTGTGGTGGTGATTGAGCGAGTTGTTCCTCTCAAACTCTGAGAGGCTCTCTGATATGTGTTTGTTATTTCCCTGATTAATTCCCTGATACAATGTTATTGTTATTCTCCACCAATAAACTGGGTAGATTGAAATATCCAAGGAAGATAATTTCCGTCTCAGGGTATAAAACCTCGATATAAAATATATTTTGGGACTCAGATGTGAGTGCTCAAGTAATCTCTAATATGAGTTCCTGTGAATACTCCGACCATTGCGCACTACTCTACTATGAGGCCAATTATGAATGCTAGTTTGTTTCTCGTTGTGTGTTTCTTAGAGGTCTTGCTTAGTGTTTTGCCTCACCCCCCGCCCCCCTCCTCCCTCCCACTCTGCGGGGTGCTCTGGTCTTCGGATGTGATATGTCGAATATTAGTAGTTTCCCTGTGTTGTGGGGCATGTTGGGTGTTGCAGTAGTTGTTGTGAACACACAACTTTTGCCTTTCAACACCTGCTCCTTTTTTCAAATGCACTTAATTTTTAATTTAATATATTTTTTACTTCTCTGCATTATCAAGTTTTTCATTCCATCTCTTCCATTACTTGCCTTTCACATGGAAATCTTGACAAGATAGGTAGTTGCAGTTCCTTTTGTTTAGTGAGGACCTGGCATATTTCAGGGTGACAATCCCGACAGATTATTCGAAATCTGCATTTCTCTTTCTGAGGATACACATGCATTGTTGGGGATGTAGGTGACTTCATTCAAATTGGCTGTATCTGCAGCCTCACCTAGCATAGTACGTCCATAATTTACCTATTTTATTCATTCTCGCTCTTACATTTCCTGTTATGTTCAGTTTGTACTATATTTATTTGTCACATTTCCTAGTTTGGTATTTTCGATATCTCCTGTATGGACTTTTTGACTGAGTTGTTTCCGAGGTAATCTTTTTCATGGCCTTGAACCTTTTCTCGAGTTATTCCATCATTAGGCTTTGCCTTGACCTGGTTTTCCAATTTTGTTCTTGGAGTTTGGGATGTTTGATCATTTGTGTCCACTGTGTTCTGTTTCCATTCAACATAGATAGTTGGTAAATTGTGCATGAAAATCAGTTTCCGGACGTGAGCGTTGAAGGCTGTGATGGTGAGGATTGACGACTTTGATAATGAAAATTGTGAGCTATGATAGTGATGAATGAAGGCTGTTATATTAATGTTGGAAGACTGCGACAATTTAGCATTGTTATAGAAAGGAATACAAGCAGTAAAAATGAGGTCTGTGTCAGTGAGGAATGACGACTGGGTGAGGATTAAGTGCTATGATCTCGTGGACAAATTATGACAATAAAGATTATTAGTAAAAAGAATAAAAGATTATTAGAATAAAAAGCTGCAAGATTGATGATCCAGGACTAAAATATTGATGACTGGGGATGTGAGAGTTGTGACTGGGTGTTGTAACAGTGAGGATTGATGAATCTTGATAGTGAGGATTAATGAGCCTAGATAGAGGGAATCGATTAGGCTTGATAGTGAGGATTGTGAAGTGGGATGAATGGTGACTGATTTAGAGAACAAAAATGTATACCTAAGATAATTTAAGTGAATAACTTGGATGGAGCGGACAGAACTAGGAAGATGAAGACCAGCGAACAATTGGGTTGCTAACAAGATTTATTCTAACATAAATAGTCTAACTTAACCTACAGCATTTGGGCTTTAAATCATTCTAACTAAACAGAGTTTACCATGTGCTGGTCATCCGCGATAATGCCATCACCATGCACATATAAGAAGCAAATGAGAAAAACTTTAAGTTCATAATAACAATTTTAGCTCATCTTATAATGTAGAATCACAACACAAAATAATCAAGATAATGATCATTATATATATATATATATATATATATATATATATATATATATATATATATATATATATATATATGTATATATATATATATATATATATATATATATATATATATATATATATATATATATAATCATTATTCATCCATAATGAAGGTTATGTTAATTATAAATTATATCAGTATATCGCCAAAATCTAACTTTCTAAGGAACAGATTTTATGGAAATTATCCCAAACATAACTTAGTTACATTTATTTATTTATTGTATTTTTATATAAACAACAAAAGGAACTACAATTATTAGGATAAAATAGAAGAGAGAATAAGTCTTACACTCGGCTCGGCCCTCGAAGAATCCCGAGAACTTGTCAATGTCGTCGAAGAGCCCAGTGATGTTGTTGAGGCGGCAACAGAACGCCTCAAACTTGCCGAAGACGTATTGCTCACTGAAGCTGAAGGGTCGCTCACCAGGCATGGCCTCCAGCTTCTCCTGCACGTAGTTACCTCAACTTTACTACACTGGCTTGACACTCGGCCTGGCCACGTCTGGTCAACGTTACTACAGTGGCTTGACACTCGGCCTGGCCACGTCTGGTCAACATTACTACAGTGGCTTGACACTCGGCCTGGCCACGTCTGGTCAACATTACTACAGTGGCTTGACACTCGGCCTGGCCACGTCTGGTCAACATTACTACAGTGGCTTGACACTCGGCCTGGCCAAGTCTGGTCAACGTTACTACTGTGGCTTGACATTCGGCCTGGCCAAGTCTGATCAACGTTACTACACTGGCTTGACACTCGGCCTGGCCACGTCTGGTCTACGTTACTACACTGGCTTGACACTCGGCCTGGCCAAGTCTGGTCTACGTTACTACTGTGGCTTGACACTCGGCCTAACCAAGTCTGATCAACGTTACTACTGTGGCTTGACACTCGGCCTAACCAAGTCTGATCAACGTTACTACTGTGGCTTGACACTCGGCCTAACCAAGTCTGATCAACGTTACTACTGTGGCTTGACACTCGGCCTAACCAAGTCTGATCAACGTTACTACTGTGGCTTGACACTGGGCCTGGCCAAGTCTGGTCAACGTTACTACAGTGGCTTGACACTCGGCCTGGCCAAGTCTGGTCAACGTTACTACAGTGGCTTGACACTCGGCCTAACCAAGTCTGATCAACGTTACTACTGTGGCTTGACACTGGGCCTGGCCAAGTCTGGTCAACGTTACTACACTGGCTTGATACTCGATACTGTCGTTGTGAATTGCAGTTATACATATCTTAGTTTTACCTTATGTCTACATTAACTTATTCGTTGTAAGTTAAGTGTTTTTAGTATAGCCTGATACTAAAATTGTCAAAATTGTCTTAATCTACTACTTCTTCAAACTAGCAGCATCTCCGTTCTTTGTTATTTGTAATTGTTTTAACGGGAATCATATTTAATTTAGGTTAGATTCAAATGTGGTTTGAATAGATAATGAACTTTTTAACTTACCTTCGTTTTTTGGTAAGCTGTTCTGTAGGTGGTGTTGAGCTTGAGGCAGTGATGGATCTTGGTGCGCACGTCCTCACGCGCTTGTGACCAGATGGTCTCTTGTCCCTGGCAGGATATGTACACCTGACACGCCCTGATCATTTGGTTGGTGATCTGTCAACGTGACCAGAGAAGATAGTTAATGACTGTTGATACCGACCATCTTCACCTGTTTACAATCTCAGTAGTCACTGAGCTGCAACAATATTGACTTACTAACTAATCATAATGTAATTATGGTTAGTCTACCACAAACCCATGCATAGTGGTATGTACATTCACTTCTTTTCCTACCATCGTCCTATTGTTAAGAAAAGTATTCATGTCCCAATCTTCCTCCTAGCTCTACGCATCAGTGACCCTAAGTTTTTTATTCTGAAATTTCTTTATTTAAAACTCTTTCTCTCGCCTTGCTTACCCCTTAAACTTTAACAACTGTGCATATTGTTTTTTGGGTTATATATACAAGAGTTGTTACATTCTTGTACAGCCACTAGTACGCGTAGCGTTTCGGGCAAGTCCTTAATCCTATGTTCCCTGGAATACGATCCCCACGAAGAATCGTTTTTACAACCAGGTACCCATTTTTCTGTTGAGTTAAACAGAGGCTACAGTTAAGGATTTGCACCCAATAAATCCTCCCCGACCAGGATACAAAGCGCTTGCGGAACGCCAGGCAAGCGTCTTACCACTACGCCACGGAGACTGTTACATACACTTTCTCAAGTGTATGTAGTGTATATCACATTCTCAAGTGTATAGTGTATATCAAGTGTATATTACATTATCAAGCTAAACGAAATTTCTTTCATCCCAAACCTGTTTCCAACACTAGTATCACTATTCTCTGACCTCCTTTCATATCTGAACTAAAAACTCACTAATACCTTTCGTCCTTTGTATATAAAGCTCGCCTTTCGACAAACTAACACTCTTCGTTGTAACCTGGTTTACACTTCAGTAGCGTAAATTGAGACGTAGACCGTTCGCGGCACCTGAGCCAGGTGTGACCGTTCGCGGCACCTAAGCCAGGTGTGCCACTGGGCACAACTATCACAGGTAAGCACTGGAGTGACATCTCACGGGGTGTGGGTGGCCCTCCCCCCCCCCCCCCCCCTGCGCGGCCGTGCCTAGTCTCCCGGGACGTTTTGCATCACCAGTGATGAAAGGGGGGGGGGGGGTGGCATGTGTGAAGCAGGTGTGTAGCATGTGTGTACAAGTGTGAAGCAGGTGTGTAGCATGTGTGTGCAGATGCATCAACCGTGAAGAGCTCAGTCCCCCAGGGTACTGTGCTTGCTCCAGTACTTTTTCTCATCCTCATATCGGACATAGACAAGAACACAACCTATAGCACTGTATCATCATTTGCAGATGACACTAGGATCTTCATGAGAGTAGGCAACATAGAGGACACGGTAAACCTCCAATCAGATGTAGATCAGGTCTTTCTATGGGCTACAGAAAATAATATGGTGTTTAACGAGGATAAGTTTCAGCTCATGCGCTACGGAAAAATTGAAAATATAAAAACGGAAACCACGTACAAAACTCAGGCAAATCATAACATAGAACGAAAAGGCAATGTAAAGGATCTGGGTGTACTCATGTCGGAAGACCTTACCTTTAAAGAACACAATAAAGTAGCCGTCACAACTGCAAGAAAAATGACAGGTTGGATAACAAGAACTTTTCACACTAGAGATGCTATACTGATGATGATACTTTTCAAAACGCTTGTGCTCTCTAGAGTGGAGTACTGCTGCACAATGACAGCCCCAAAGCTGGAGAAATTGCTGACATGGAGAGCGTGCAGAGATCCTTTACTGCTAGAATCCACTCAGTAAAACATCTAAATTACTGGGACCGACTAAAGAGCCTAAATCTGTACTCCCTTGAGCGCAGGCGGGAGAGATACATAATAATTTACACGTGGAAAATAATTAAGGGGCTGCTCCCAAACCTGCACACAGAAATAACATCACATGAGACGAGAAGACATGGCAGGATGTGCAGAATACCCCCGTTGAAAAGCAGAGGTGCAACAGGTACTCTGAGAGAGAACTCTATCAACATCAGAGGCCCGAGACTGTTCAACACGCTTCCACTACACATAAGGGGCATAACTGGCCGACCCCTCACAGTGTTCAAGAGAGAACTGGATAAGCACCTCCAAAGGATACCTGATCAACCAGGCTGTGACTCATACGTCAGGCTGCGAGCAGCCGCGTCCAACAGCCTGATTGATCAGTCCAACAACCAGGAGGCCTGGTCGACGACCGGGCCGCGGGGACGCTAAGCCCTGGAAGCACCTCAAGGTAACCTCAAGGAGTTCATGTTTAGTGAGTTTTAAGCATAGGGAGGGTTAGAGTTGAGCATGCTGGCACCACCACATGGCAGCACCAGGCCTAGGAGACCGGTTGAGTATGTAGAATAGTTTGATTAGGGAAGCATGGGAAAAATGGAGGGAGGGAGGGTATGGCTGGACGGGTGTCAGACACGCACTGGCGCATGAGTGGTGAACCAACAGCTGTCCTCTGCCGCCAGCTCCTCCAGGCCCCATCTCCCTCTTCTCTCTCGTGTTTTAAAAATCGCATATTAGGCATTGTTAATCTGAAGGTGAAGGAGTGTTAGGTGTTGTTTCTACCCATCATACCCACGGTATATCAACAACACATGGAGAGTGTTTTCTCACACAGTGACACAGAACTTTAACAATATGTCTCGGCCTAATATCCCATTTCAGCTCGAGAAGTAAAAACACTCCAGCAGTCTGGATGCCGTCCGTCACCTCTAATCGTTTTAAGTCAACAGCGAAGCCGTGAATATATGTAATTTTAAATCAATCCCATGAGCTTCCTCTTAGACTAACCTCACCCCACCCCACCCCACCCAACCCCACCCCATCCTCACCCCATAATGCTATGAGGTTAACGGGTAGGCTGCTCCTTGCCTTACTTTCGGGTAGGTTGCTCCATGGGGACTTTCAGGTAAGTTATTCAAGAAGTTGCATATCTGAATGATTCGTCTATAGAAAAACTTTGCTTTTTCCACTAAAGAGAGTTAGGCGGAAGTGTCTGGTAGTGTAATATATAGAAAGATAAATAAATATTAAGGTGAAGATGTTATACTCACAACACCACCAAACAGTATCTTCAGGAGTACTCATCCTGCGGCAGGCCCTCCTACAGGCAAAGAGCTCATCATTATGACCGCAACAGTCAAAGGAGCGGCCTATACTGGCCTGTTTAGGGGGACAGTCATCTCTCACCCCCTCCCTCCTCACATCCACTCCCAGCCCCCTGCTCCAAGCTCCTCCCCCATTAAGCTGCTATCTCATCCATTACCTGTCAATTCCTTAAGTCATCGCCTCTCGCCAAATTGTCACACAGTGTTGCACCCTCACTCAGCCTCCCATTAGCACTAAATAAAAAACGTAAATATTATTGTTTAAAGTACTGTACAGCCTCAAATAATATCGGCATCAACCTTCCATTGGAGAGATTCTCATTGTTATACACCCTCTACCCCTACCTCTCTCTCTATATACCTCTCTACACCTCTCTATATATATACCTCTCTCTCTATATATACCTCTCTATACCTCTCTCTCTCTCTCTACATCTCTTGTAAATCTTGTAACATAGTGTAACGTAACGAAACGACACATGGAAAACATCGTTCTGTTATCCAAATAATTTTTTTTAGGACAAATCATTGTTACTGTGTGTTTTATGTCTTGTAACATAACATAACATAACATACAAGGAAACAAATGTACTTGTACAATTTCCATTTTAAAGAAGAAGACAGTCTTCATTATAATTATAACACATCCAAATCAATGCTACTGTGTGTTTTAGTCCTTGTAACACAATGTAACATAATGTGGAAATCATCTTTTCGCTGTGTAAAATATCGTTTTAAAGTGTAAAGTATGACTTAGCCCATCCCCATTACATCTCCTAATATATAAATATTTCTGTGTGTGTTTTAGTCCTTGTAACACAATATAACGAAACGTGGAAATCATCTTTCTGCTGTTCAAAATATAATTTTTTAAATGAAAAGTATGACTTAGGAAACATATCTATTTCTCCATTAGATCCCACACCATATAAATATTACTGTGTGTCTGTTTGACTCCTTGTAACACAATGTAACAACGTGGAAATCATCTTTCTGCTGTCCAAAATATAATATTTAAAATGTAAAGTATGACTTAGTCCATCTCCATTACATCTCCTATCATATAAATATTACTGTGTGTCTGTTTTATTCCTTGTAACACAAGGAATAAAATGTTTTATTCCCCTTGTAACGTAACGGGGAAATCGTGTCTCTGCTGTCCAAAATATCTTTCTTTTGTCCAAATAACAAGTTTTTATGAGTAACAACAGTCATAAGCAGCTTTCAATAGTATTATAACATTCACAAATCAATGTCACTGTGTGTTTTACACCTTGTAACATAATGTGACCAACATGGAAACATCATTCTTTGCCGAAATAACTTTTTTAAGAGTAACGGATAAAGCAAATGGTTTATCTCTCTCTCTCTCCCTCTCAGTATCTCATATATATCTAAGTAGTCTCTTGCTGTTTCTCAATATCTCCTTTTATGTTTGTATCTATTTCTTTCTGTCACTTTGTGTTTGTCTGACTATATCTGCCTCTCTGTATTCATATATCTGTCTCTGTACCTCTGTTTTTCTATCTCTGTCTCTGTACCTCTGTTTTTCTATCTCTCTATCTGTCTCTGTCAAGTGAGTATCTCCGTCTGCATATCTTTTCTCTTTGCCCTTGTCTCCGACTTTGTCTCCTTGTATCTGTATCTAGGAATCTGTACCACTGTCCCTGTTCTTGACTCTCTCGTTATCTGTCCTTTGTTCACCTGACTCTGTTTTTAAACTGTTTTTAAGTATCTGTCTTTGTCTATGTCTGTTTGTACCTCTCAGATTCTGTCTCAAATTTACGTCTATTTCAATCAATAATTTATTTCTTAAATGTCTTTTGTACATCTACAGCCAAGTTAGTTTACATAAAACTATAGTAAATTATTTTCCTAAGAGAACTTAGTAATAACAACATACCATGAAATATCTGACGGAGAAAATACAATTTAAAGAACAGATATAAACTAATCATTCAATGAATGGGTAAAAAAAAATCAAACTCTCAGCCAACAGATTTTAGGGCTCTTCTGGATCAAAATAGTTCCCAGTACAGAGTTTATGCTACATAGAACAGTGTCTCTGTTTCTCTTTGTCTATCTACCTGTTTATGTCTCCATCTTTGAATCTATATTTTTCTGTGTCACATAGCAGGGTAAACTGCCACTTCAACTCTCACCTTCGTCGTTAACAGCCTACACACGACGTGTACTCTACACCATCATGAACTACAATTGATTAAACGTATGTTTTGGCAGCCCGTCCTCCAAGCAAAGATCCAAAAGTGATTCCATGCATATATATATATATATATATATATATATATATATATATATATATATATATATATATATATATATATATATATATATATATATATATATATATATATATATATATATATATATATATATATATATATATATAAGCCAAGTTTTCATGTCGTACCTAGTAGCCAAAACGCACTTCTCGGCCTACTATGCAAGGATCGATTTGCCTAATAGGCCGAGTGATTTTCTTTATTTTTAATAAATTCTTTCCAATTAGTTTATTTGAATTATTATTATTATATTATATTAAGAACATAAATTATTTACTTAGTTGTGTTAGTTTAGGTTACGTTAGGTTAGGTTAGGTTAGGTTAGGTTAACACACTAGTAACTGCGGCAGACCAGAAGAGTGCAGGTAATTATCAGGAATAATGACGGCGCTCTTCAGAGCTACACGTGTCATGGGTCACTGGGAAAGGTTCAGTAACGGGGTAAAAGGGGTAGGAGTAAAGGGGTGCCTTCTCGCCATGCCCTGTGGCTGGGGGGATTGGTGCCCTGAAGCTACATAAACACCCTATACCCCCCCCCCACAAGTGTTAAGGGGAGTTAGGGGACTCACATTAGAGGGAGGAGGGGCACTAACCTTGATGAGGAGAGCTGATAGCTTATCCGAGGTGTTGTAGTACTTGGAGATGGAATGGATCATGCGGACCGTGTTGAACAGCATCATGATGTATGGCGTCATTCCAGGCTGAGGAAACATGGGTCATTGTGAGTTGTGGTTAGTTACGACGGGTGAGTGTGTGTGTGTGCGTGTGTGTGTGTGTGTGCGTGTGTTTGTTTGTGTGTGTGTGTGTGTGTGTGTGTGTGTGTGCGTGTGTGTGTTTGTTTGTGTGTGTGTGTGTGTGTGTGTGTGTGTGTGTGTGTGTACTTACCTAGTTGTGCTTGCGGGGGTAGAGCTCTGGCTCTTTGGTCCTACCTCTCAACAGTCAATTAACTAATGTACAGGTTCCTGAGCCTATTGGGCTCGATCATATCTACACTTGAAACTGTGTATGGAGTCAGCTTACACCACATCACTTCCTAATGCATTCCATTTGTCTACTACACTGACACAGAAGAAATTCATTCTAAGGTCTCTATGGCTAATTTGGGCACTCAATTTCCACCTGTGTCCTCTATTGCGTGTGCCCCTTGTGTTAAATAGTCTGTCTTTATCTACCCTGTCATTTCCACTGAGAATCTTGTATGTGGAGATCATGTCCCCTCTAACTCTTCTGTCTCCCTGTGACGTGAGGGTTAATTCCCGAAGTATCTCCTCGTAGCTCATACCCTTCTGTTCGGGTACTTGTCTGGTGGCATTTACCAGATCTCATACACACAGCTCGTGTATTATTGGGCAGTGAAAAAAATGCCTAGAGTAACCTAACTGCTATTAAAGTAATACACCAGAGTGCCCCTTAAGCTGATACAAACAAATAAAATGCAAGATAAGGATAAGCAAACATGCATATATAAAATATATGTATAATATAAGAATAATTGAAAATAATATGCAAGTTTTCAATATAACAACATATGCATTCACTTAAATTATCAATAAGAGAACGTGATGGCTTAATGTGAACAGTTGTCTCCTCAGATGAATATATCTACCCAAATGAAACAATTATCACACAGACTAATCTTTAAAAGATGTTCCCTGATCCCATGATGATGGGTTGTCATGAAGTCCGTTCTCTCCAGATATGTTACTAGGTTTTTTTCTCACGATCTTCTCCATCACCTTGCATGGTTTATAAGTTAAGAACACTGGCCTGTAGTTCAGTGCCTCTTGTCTGTCACCGTTTTTGTATATTGGGACTACATTAGCAGTTTTCCATATTTCTGGTAGGTCTCCCGTTTCCAGTGACCTACTATACACTATGGAGAATAGCAAGCAAAGTGCTTCTGCACACTCTTTCAATGCCCATGGTGAGATTCCGTCCAGGCCAACTGCCTTTCTCACGTCCAGAACCAACAGGTGCCTCTTGACCTCATCTCTTGTAGTTTCGAACCCTTCCAAGGCCGCTTGGTTTGCTGCCACCTCTCCTAGCGCAGTAACCTCATCTTGTTCTATTGTGAAAACCTCCTGGAACCTCCTCTTGAGTTCTTCACACACCTCTTTGTCATTCTCTGTGTACCTGTTCTCACCCATTCTAAGTTTCATCACCTGTTCCTTCACTGTTGTTTTCCTTCTGAAGTGACTGTGGAGTAGCTATGGATCGAGGTTGGCTTTATTAGCTATATCATTTTCATACTTTTTTCGGCTTCTCTTCTCACACTAACATACTCGTTCCTGGTTCTCTGGTATCTCTCTCTGCTTTCTGGTGTCTGTTATTTCGAAAGTTCCTCCATACCCTTTTGTTCAGTTCCTTTGCTTCCATACATACCTTATTTAAACCACGGATTCTTCTTTTGCTTCTCGATTTTTCCTTTCAAGCCGGCATAAACCTGTTTACTGTGTGTGTGTGTGTGTGTGTGTGTGTGTGTGTGTGTGTGTGTGTGTGTGTGTGTGTGTGTGTGTGTGTGTGTGTGTGTGTGTGTGTGTGTGTGTGTGTGTGTGTGTGTGTGTGTGTGTGTTTGTGCTGATACAGGGCTTTTTTACTCCCTCCTATTTTACTTCCTTCTCTTTATCCTTTTTCATTAATGAAACATAAACCTTTTTAACATCTTTGCCTCAGCTGTTTTCCTTCTGATATTCATTTTTAATATTTCCTCTTTTCTCCAGTGTACCAGTTTGTTTTATGTCCGTCTGATGTCTTCTCTCTCTCTAGATATCTCAACCTTTCTCAGTACTGTTCCCCATGTAATACTGGGATTTCGCAAGTTTCTGTAACTGTTCGAGTTGCTTTATTTTAGCTTTGGTATTAGTTGCAGTGTGTTAGTCCCATGGTAAGGGGAATAGGTGAGATAATGCAAAGCTTGGGAGAACATGTGTGCCGGTACCAGACTTAGGGAACAGGTGTGCCGGTACCAGACTTAGGGAACAGGTGTGCCGGTACCAGACTCAGGGAACAGGTGTGCCCGTACCAGACTTAGGGAACAGGTGTGCCGGTACCAGACTTAGGGAACATGTGTGCCGGTACCAGACTTAGGGAACAGGTGTGATAGCCCAGATAGGGGCTGGTGGAAGAGTTGTGGTAATCCCAGCTGGGGATGAGAGGTGTGGTAAGCCAGGGAGGAAGGGCTTGAGGACTTCTTCAAGGGAGAGATGTTTACAGTGTGGGGGACGACTCTAACGGATCAATAATTTGTTAGCGGTTTGATGCTTTTGTAGAGAGAGACACACACACACTGAGTGGTGTGGTGTGTATAAGTGTTTATGGCCTGCATGATCACAACACACCGGGCACAATACGTAGTAACAAAACTCACCAGCAAACACACCAGTAATACACCACCAGTCAGCAACACTCACGGGATCATTGAGGTAGAGTGGGTGGCAGTACTCCTCGATGGCGTAAACAAACTTGACGTTATCTTTGGCCTCAGCCAGGTTGTGGGTGACCCTGGCGTCCATCTCCTTCCACGTCTTGAGCACCTTCGACCTGGCCAGCTGTAGCACCAGCACGGCTCCTCGCACCTGCTCAACTTCACTCAGTCACTTATGTCTCTAAAGCCTTTCTTAAACATAACTTTTACATAATTATCATCCAAAATGTATTAAATTAATTTAAATAAATATAATGCCAGCATCGTGGCGCGCATTAATCATAAATACATATAATAATTGCGACTTTTGTAGAGGTCCTCTGACAGAAAATAACTTGAAAACCTTACTACAAGTAGGGCTTGAATGAAGGTGAAAAAAAGACCCAATTTATGCTTAGGTGTAATCAAAAAAAAAAATTAGAGTAACCTATATCCTCTCTCAATGTACTGTATACAATGATACCTTGAGATTGTATACAGTACCTCTAGGTAAGTAACATGATTATTGAGGGGGTCAGGATATAGAGTGTGTTGCTTGAGCAGCTCTTGATAAGTAACATGTGTATTGAAGAAGTCAGGACGTAGAGTGTGTTGCTTGAGGAAGTCAGGATGTAGAGTGTGTTGCTTGAGGAGGTCAGGATGTAGAGTGTGTTGCTTGAGGATGTCGGGATATAGAGTGTGTTGCTTGAGGAAGTCAGGACGTAGAGTGCGTTGCTTGAGGAAGTCATGATGTAGAGTGCGTTGCTTGAGCATCTCCGGGTAAGTAACATGATCATTGAGAAGGTCTGGGTAAGGAACGTACTGTTTGAAAAAGAGCATGTTGCCTACCTTAACCTTGAGAGTTTCTGATTACGGAGCTTTCTGTTTGAGATACTCTCGGCTCTTAGACACTGCTTGAGAAATTTCATGAAAACAACAAATCTATTTAAGTAACTCTAGTGAGTATCATGCTACTTGGGGTAGTTCCGTTACTGAATGCGCTACCTTAGTAGGCCCAGATAAGGAGCATACTACTTGAGACAATTAAGAAAATGACAAGAACAATTAAGGATAGTTCATGGCAGGAACAAGGAATGTGTTTACCTGAGGAGACTCCATCTGTTCAGAGAGGAACTTCAACTTGGCCATGCGCCTCTTCCAATACTCCAGCTCGTCCTGAGGTCCAGCGTCATCGCTCTCCTGACGCAGCTGCTCCATCTCTATCAGTACTGACTCTGTGGGGCGAGAAGTGGTCAGGGAGTGAGAGAGAGACAGAGAGAGAGAGAGAGGGAAGTTATATATATATAAGTAAGCAGTAAAAAGAAACATAAGAAATATTGAGAAAATTCGTGTTAGAATTATTAAACTTACTTTTTCGGTCATATTTAACAACATATGTTTACAAGAATGACTGCTACCAATATATATATATATATATATATATATATATATATATATATATATATATATATATATATATATATATATATATATATATATATATATATATATATATATATATATATATATATATATATATATATATATATATATATATATATATATATATATATATATATATATATATATATATATATATATATATATATATATATATATATATATATATATTATATATATATAGTTTACAGTGCCGTTCAGATCTTTTGTCTGAAAGCAAACCTGTTACCTCTCGCAGCCTGACCCCACACCCCTCAGCTGAGGTGCTCCCCTACTGTGGTTACCACTTTGAGGTAGCCTAACCCCTCATATCTCCTGGCTGAGGTGCTCTCCTATTATAGTTACCTAATACTAGTACTCTCAGCTAACTATTCTCAGCTGAATAGTACTTTAAATTAGTTCTTTAACCTTTTCCCTAAGATTCTCCAACATACGGGTGTTCGAATTGACCATCTGAAGTGCACTGCCCCAAGCCATTGTGTGAAAATGGAAACCCATCATAGACAAAGGACTCCAACTGATCAGTGGAATCTGGAGCAGCAGACAGTAACTGAAACTCTCACATAGTTAGCAACTCCACAGCTAAATACTGGTGGGAATTGATCCTTTATTATGCTTTACACAGAGCTTCTGCACACACCTCCAGCACGGAAATTCCTCTTTCTTAATTTTGAGCCACTTTTTTGTCACTGACAATACCTTCTAGCACACAAACTGAGGTAATACTTGGAGCTAACAGCCCAAGTACAACGTCCAGTTCAACTCAGAGAAACAGCTTCCTACATATATATACCCGACAATCAAGTGAACAATTCACCTTTACAAGTGGCAAATTAGAACTACTGGCCAAATAGACCTAAATAGGGTGGACGATGGCGAAGCCATCCTATGTAGTATTCTCGGCCTCCTCCCACTCAGCCACGATATCACCATCATAACCAGGTGCTGCATCACCGACATAAGTAACGTCATGAACATCAGTAACATCAGCAGCATCAACACGGGGAACATCTTTCAAGTTGGTGACGAATTGAAATTTCAAATTGGTTGTGATTAGCCTGAGAAACGTTCGTATCTGATAGCCAGTCCATACTTTACATGCACTTATACAGAGAAAACTGCTAAAATCTACCAGCAAGATGTGAACTGTAATTAATCACTGCCACTAGAGAGGGAATCAAGAGGACATCTGTTGGAGGAAAAACAACTTGGAAAGCCAGAAACACATGTTTTAAGACATTTGTTTCAAATGTCTCAAAAATCCGACTAACCCAGAACTCTACTGATTTCTCAGGGAGATTCTGGAGACCCCAGACCGTAGCCCAATCAGTGTTTCACAGTCAACCCGACCACACACTGACCTGCAGTACTGGTGTTCCCACTCATTTTCTCGAAAAAGGTTTATTGGCGAGTGCAGGTGAAGAAGGTGTTAAGTAATTTGTAGTTTTAATGAGTGTCTAACATACACCCCATCCTCCAAAATTATAGTACGATTTGGTGTCAATAAAAATGCCAGTCCTCCAAATTTATTGAATTATTCAAAACTATATGCTAAGAAGATGAGAGGAAACTTTAAAACAAATAGTCGAAGACAATAAGTACCCACTTGGCCTGACCACAGATCACATGAAACTTAGATTTAACATACTGCATTTCTGAGCTATATTATGCTAGGTTAAGAGTAGGATACATTTGGTTAGACCTAGATAGGCAATTTCTCCCCATTTTTAACGTTTCTAATCTTCCTACCTATCGACTTAAAATTTAAAAATAACAAAATGTGTACTATTATCTATGTTAACAGATTTTTGTCTATAGGTTGCTCTGATAGAGTTTACGCAGTCGTTATAGGAATTATAATCTTAAAGGATGGGTTACACTAATGATAGTGAAGTATTTATAACTAGGAATGTCAACCTTACACATGCACTATGCACTTAGTGTCTTTTACAACCTTCAACACTACATATCTCCAGGCTAGATTTTATTAGATTTGGTTAAGATAGATTTTGTTAAATTAAGTTAGGTAAGATATTTACACGTCAGTGAGATGTCATGTGTACAAAGTGAGCTGGGAATAAGAGGTTCAGAAAAACGAGAAAACAAAATCAATGGGATGGATTAAACTGTGGCAATAAAGCCATTATTGATTCACAAGAGAACAGCTCCAACAGGTGTGGCACTATGAACTTATTCATCTTGGAGGCGATGAGTCACAATAACGTGGCTGAAGTATGTTGACCAGACCACACACTAGAAATTGAAGGGACGACGACGTTTCGGTCCGTCCTGGACCATTCTCAAGTTGATTGTGAAACGAAACGTCGTCGTCCCTTCAATTTCTAGTGTGTAGTCTGGTCAACTTATTCATCTTGGGTTCACCCAACTGACCGATCTGCTTCAGCCAGATGATGACGGTCCGCTCAATGGCCAGCAGGTGGTCTGGCTGGCCTAGCACTGCCTGCGCCTCCGTCAGTCCTCGTACTTCCTCAACGCCCTCCTCCGGTGCCGCCAGCACCACCCTCTCCTCCATGATGGCCTCCGACACTGTGGACAAAATCCATCACAATATATACCTGGTTGATGGGGTTCTGGGAGTTCTTCTACTCCCCAAGCCCAGCCCGAGGCCAGGCTTGACTTGTGAGAGTTTGGTCCACCAGGCTGTTGCTTGGAGCGGCCCGCAGGCCCACATACCCACCACAGCCCGGTTGGTCCGGCACTCCTTGGTCTGGCTGGCCTACATATGTTTATGTACGCTGGGTACAATGAATGCACTGGAAGTGAGTGAAAGCTTGCTGTTTAGAATGAGGACAATGTGGTGCGAGTATTTCATTGGACAGGATATACAAGGCCACATTTCGGACACATTTTGGTACTGTCTCAAGGCTTCATGAGATCCTTGTACTGTCTTCACAGTACTAACTCATATTACACTACTTCACTACTTCACAATTGCTTATTACATATTAGCTCTACTTCATATTATCTCTCTAACCTACTGTTTGTTGTCACTGTGAACCTCTTAAGATAATTAAATTTAATTTAAGTTTTAAGAACCATATCATTACTTCTGTCATATATCTGTCAAAACAACATTACTACTGTGTTATATCTGCTACCAGAGCATTTGTATTATGTTTTATCTGCTACCACAGCATTTCTCCTGTGATATACCTGCTATCAAAAATTATTTTTTTATTATATTTGCTACTACAGCGTTACTGATGTGTTATATCTGGTAACACAGCATTACCACTTTGTTATACCTATTACAACACCATTTCTATTGTGCTATACATGTCACCACACCATTACTATAGTGTTATAGTAGGATAATTGAGGACATAGACCGTCCCCTCCATTCCGGGGATGGGGTGCAAAACCTGTAGGTTGTATTGTGATTTTAGAGGTGTGTAAATTCCATAGGCTTTATTGGAACTTGGAAATATATGTTCTAACTCCAAAGACTTCAGTGTGTATTGAGAAGAGTTGAGGAATTGCCTTAGACTTTATTGTTTTTTAGGGAAGATGTGTTCAAATCCAATAGACTTTCATGTGGTTATTAGTGTCTGGGATGTAGACCGGGCAAACCCATAGACTTTATAATATTTTAGAGCAAATGATACGATATTTTCGCCTTTACTTCATTACACAAAGAAATCACAATATCGTGATGCATCAAATAAACAAATCCCCAAGGGCCGTGATGAGGGTTCGAACCTACATCCAAGAGGATCCCAGACGCGCCTTGATTAATTGTGCTACGACATGGTTAAAAGATTTGCAACTGGTTTGTGTCTCAGAGAGACTGCAGGATCCGTGTGAGAGCAGTTGAACTCCCGGTTGCAATTCTTTTAACCATGTTGTAGCACAGTCGATTAAGGCGTGTCTGGGATCCTCTCGGACGTAGGTATGAACCCTCATCACAGCTCTTTTGGACTTGTTCATTTGACTTTATTGTGCTTTGAGAAGATATGTATAAATCCAATAGATTTTATTATGATTTTTGGTATGGTGTACAAATGCCGTTGTGACGATATTCACGCCATCTGTTGAGTTAACCTGACCACATTTTATGTCCCCCAGTGGAATGCTGTCATCATATGTTATCCCTGTGTAGTTACTGTCATGCTAATCACATTTTTATCTGCAGAAGTGATGAGGAGGGTATGTTGAGCACCAGGAGTCAGTTCACTTAGGGCAGTCGTGAACTCAAGACATGTTCCAGTGGAAAGAAGTGACCGTGTCAATATAGACAGAGCTTTGTCTGTAATACTTGTGAAGTACTAGTGGTTTGACCGACATACCCAGGATAAGCCAAGTTGATTTACAAAACTGAAGTATGATCTGTCTGTTAAAGCTTATTGTAAACCTGTGTGGAGTTCTGCCAGTATGTTGCTGCGGAATAGACATTATGTTTTGGACTCCTTAATGCTAAAGTGCTGGACTGGCTCATGTTTGAGTAAGGTGAACTCGCCGGCATGTGGATTATAGAAGATAAAGTGGACTCACTGAGGAACGAAGATTGTTAGATTTATTGTATTAGTGTTCTGTGCGAAAGTGACAATAGCTTGATGTGTATATTATATATATATATATATATATATATATATATATATATATATATATATATATATATATATATATATATATATATATATATATATATATATATGTCGTACCTAGTAGCCAGAACGCACTTCTCAGCCTACTATGCAAGGCCCGATTTGCCTAATAAGCCAATTTTTCCGGAATTAATATATTTTCTCTAATTTTTTTCTTATGAAATGATAAAGCTACCCATTTCATTATGTATGAGGTAAACAAATTTTATTGGAGTTAAAATTAACGTAGATATATGACCGAACCTAACCAACCCTACCTAACCTAACCTAACCTATCTCTATAGGTTAGGTTCGGTTAGGTAGCCGACAAAGTTAGGTTAGGTTAGGTTAGGTAGGTTAGGTAGTCGAAAAACAATTATTTCATGAAAACTTGGCTTATTAGGCAAATTGGGCCTTGCATAGTAGGCTGAGAAGTGCGTTCTGGCTACTAGGTACGACATATACATACATATATATATATATATATATATATATATATATATATATATATATATATATATATATATATATATATATATATATATATATATATATATATGTAACTGATACTCTCTGGTTCCTGCCTGTTAGGTAATTCCTTACCCATTCCAGGGCTTATTCAGCTTACTCCTGCCTGCATCTCAAAACTGAATAGCAATCTCTTGTGTGGTATTGTATCAAAGACTTTTTAGCAGTCCAGAAATATGCAATCTGTCCATCCTTTCCTGTCCTGCCTAATTCTTTTCACTTTATCATAGAATTCCAGAAGGTTTGTCAGACATGATTTCTCTTCCCTAAACCCATGTTGGTGTGTGTCTATATTCCTAATTCATTCTAAATGGGTAACCAGTCTTAAACTGATTTTTCTGCCTCTTCTTAAAAGGCACAGGTTAAGATGTTAAGTGCCTCTTCTCTATCTCCTTTCTTGAAAATTGGTACCCCCATTTGCCTTCATTCAACATGGCCAATTCTCCCTTTGTAAGTCACTCGTTTAAGATCCTTTCTAGAGGCACGCTGAGGGCTTGCATTGCCATTTCTAATATCCACAGTTATATGCTGTCTGGTCCAACTTCTTTAGTTTCAAACAGTATTTTTAGCTGTTATATTACCTCCTCTGGTGTCACCTCTATATCTGATGGTCTCTCATCTTGGGTCATCTCCTCTTCTAACAATGGGAGGTGCTCAGCCTTGGTTGTGAACATTCAATGGAAACTGGTATACAGTGCCTTGCAGATTTTCGTATCGCTTTCCGTTGATGCTCCTCCCGTTTTCCATATTCTTGTCAATTGGTCGTTTACCGACATTTTCCTTCTCATATGACTATGTATTAATTTAGATTTTTTTGTATTAATTTGTATTGACTATATATTAATTTAGATTTTTTTTCTATTTGCCTCTATTCCCGTTATCCTCTATTCTTTCTGCTGCTTCTCATTTTTGCATTTACTCATCTCTTCTCAATTTTCTAGATTCTCAAACATCAATTTCGGCTTAATTAGGAGTGCCACTCTCCTTCCCTATTTCTGTATCCTTTCTTTCATTATCACTTGGTAATCCCCTGGAAAAGTTGCATCCGAGATCATATAATTTATTTCAGTTTCCACTTTTGAGATTATGTCAGGATCAGTTTCACTCTTTCATTTCCTCTGCTTTATTGTATACCCCATCAGCATTGGAGTACTAAATATTGAGTCTCCAGAGTTCATATAGCTCATCTGCCTACTTGCGTCCCTTGCTGTTGGCTGTAAGTGAGAGATAGATACAGTCTTATCACCAATAAAGGGTTGTGAGGTGGGAAGTGCCAATAATTAGGACAAGCTCTGTGTTTCAGAGCTTGTGTTTTGAAGGTTGGGTTTTGAGGGCTTCATTGTGAAGCAGTGTGATTTGATGTTGCATTTGTAAGCTATTCTGCTCATAATAATTGATTAAGCAAATAATATTATTTTATTCAAAGAAAGTTACAAATTAAAACTACTGAAACTGGACAAATATCTGAAAAAAAGTAATATTTTTGGTTAGGTTAATAGGAATATATTAATATAACTGTTATCCAGTTACATATATTAAATACCTTTATTGTGTGTTCACATTACATCTAAGATATACATGGAACAGCTTACGGGAGCTAATGTTTATGGTAGAGGCATCACGTGCCACCTGGAAACGTTACTTCTTGAGGTTATCTTGAGATGATTTCGGGGCTTTAGTGTCCCCGCGGCCCGGTCCTCGACCAGGCCTCCACCCCCAGGAAGCAGCCCGTGACAGCTGACTAACACCCAGTTACCTATTTTACTGCTAGGTAACAGGGTCATAGAGTGAAAGAAACTCTGCCCATTGTTTCTCGTCGGCGCCTGGGATCGAACCCAGGACCACAGGATCACAAGTGCAGCGTGCTGTCCGCTCGGCCGACCGGCTCCCTTATTACTCCCTTATTATCCCTTATTTCCTCCTCCCTTACTGACGCCAAATGGGACACAGTAAGGCAACTATCCATTTAAATTACACAAAAAAGTAAATCAATTAGTAATAAACCATGTGAAGCCTTGGAAGTATCAAGAGATCATGTAAAACAAACGCCAAGAGTAGTCAGGAAAGCCCTTACGGAGCCAGTAGACCATACCGTGGAGACACGAGGCGAAGGACCTAGAGTAGTCAGGAAAGCCCTTACGGAGCCAGTAGACCATACCGTGGAGACACGAGGCGAAGGACCTGAGACCGGCCAGCAGATGGTCCCTGGCGCTGACGCTGCCGGGCCACGTGTCCAGGTCTGAAGGGTTGACCCTGACCGCGGGCACGAACACCTTGCTCAGTAGCCGCTCTACCGACCTCAGCAGCACCGCCGGGTCCTCGCCATTCTTCACCAGCATGAAGTTCACTTCCTGAGCAACATGTTATCATCCTTAATTACTATGTCTAATGGTAACAAGCACAGCCCGCCAAACACACACCGAAACTATAACGTTGGTACAACGTTCAAACAAGTTTTAACACCTCCTAATCAGTTATAACAACCAATATAGCAAGTTGTAACAACGTTCTAATACGTCATAAACACGTTAAGGCAAGATGTAACAACTTTATTACAAGTTGTAACAAGCGGAAAATAGAGACAGTTTCGGTTTGTGTTTCCAGGGAGATAATTAGCTAGGTTAAAATTAAGGGTCAAGGCTATGCACTGGAGTTTAATAGTTATTCAGTGCAAGACTAGTTTAAGTTACATATTGAAAACTGCATATCTTTGTATTTATTAATTACGGTATATCTTTGTATTATTAATTACGATATATCCACATATTTATTAATTATGGTGTATCTTTGTATTTATTAATTAGGGTATACCTTTGTTATTCTTAATGAACAAAACCCCCCAGTAACATGACTCTTTGAACAGATGAAGACATATTGTTATTATTATTGGTGATGGGTTGACAACACACAGACATATACACACAGTATAGTCCAATTACATTCGTCAGTTTCATAAATTTTGCAATAACATTATTGGTGATGTAGACTCTTAGCTGCCATTTCTGCATGATCCTTGCAACACCCCTCACTACAACTCTCTCTCTCTCTCTCTCTCTCTCTCTCCCCTCTCTCTCTCTCTCTCTCCCCCCCTCTCTCTCTCTCTCTCTCTCTCTCCCCCTCTCTCTCTCTCTCTCTTAGAGTATGCAGCCCCATCATGGAGCCCCCACTTAAGGAAATACAACAGGAAATTTGAAAATGTTCAGAAGTTTTCGTCGTGGCTAGTCCCAGAGATGCAAGGGATGGGATATGTAGAGCGACTGAAGGTACTGAACCTGACAACGTTAGAAAAAAAGAGGGAGCGGGGAGATCTGATAGCAGCATATGAAACACTTAGTGAGATTGACACTGTAGAAAAAGACGGAATGTTCACAGGGAATACAACAGAACAAGGGGACATGGGTGTAAGTTGAAAAATTAGATGAGTCATAGAGATGTTAAAAAGTTTTCTTTTAGCAAGAGAGTAGTGGGCAAATGGAATGAACTGAAGGAGCACATTAAGGAAGCAAACACTATTTATAGCTTATAAACTAGGTATGATAGAAAAGAAAGACACGAGCCATTGCTTTAAACAACCGGCGGCTAGAAAGGCGGGATCCAAGAGCTAACGTTCGATCTTGCAGGCACAAATAGGTGAGTATACACACAGACACGCTTTTCAAAGAGTTGTTTCAAAGCGTTATACGACAAAGAGTACTGGGAAGACAGGACACCACGAGCGTAGCTCTCATCCTCTTACTACACTTAGGTAATTACACACACTCACCCTGTGGACGTTCTCCTCAGTGACAGAGCGCTGGGGCGTGGTCCGTGACACACACACTCACCCTGTGGACGTTCTCCTCAGTGACAGAGCGCTGGGGCGTGGTCCGTGACACACACACTCACCCTGTGGACGTTCTCCTCAGTGACAGAGCGCTGGGGCGTGGTCCGTGACACACACACTCACCCTGTGGACGTTCTCCTCAGTGACAGAGCGCTGGGGCGTGGTCCGTGACACACACACTCACCCTGTGGACGTTCTCCTCAGTAACAGAGCGCTGGGGCGTGGTCCGTGACACACACACACACACACACTCACCCTGTGGACGTTCTCCTCAGTGACAGAGCGCTGGGGCGTGGTCCGTGACACACACACTCACCCTGTGGACGTTCTCCTCAGTGACAGAGCGCTGGGACGTGGTCCGTGACACACACACACTCACCCTGTGGACGTTCTCCTCAGTGACAGAGCGCTGGGGCGTGGTCCGTGACACACACATACACACTCACCCTGTGGACGTTCTCCTCAGTGACAGAGCGCTGGGACGTGGTCCGTGATACACACACACACTCACCCTGTGGACGTTCTCCTCAGTAACAGAGCGCTGGGGCGTGGTCCGTGACACACACTCACCCTGTGGACGTTCTCCTCAGTAACAGAGCGCTGGGGCGTGGTCCGTGACACACACACTCACCCTGTGGACGTTCTCCTCAGTAACAGAGCGCTGGGGCGTGGTCCGTGACACACACACACACTCACCCTGTGGACGTTCTCCTCAGTAACAGAGCGCTGGGGCGTGGTCCGTGACACACACACACACACCCTGTGGACGTTCTCCTCAGTGACAGAGCGCTGGGGCGTGGTCCGTGACACACACATACACACTCACCCTGTGGACGTTCTCCTCAGTAACAGAGCGCTGGGACGTGGTCCGTGACACACACACACACTCACCCTGTGGACGTTCTCCTCAGTAACAGAGCGCTGGGGCGTGGTCCGTGACATACACACACACACGCCCCTCAGGGGAGTGACCGCGGGGTTGCCAATAAAGAGACGCTTCCGCCTACTGGTGTCTGGCTCAGGTTCACCTTCACACAGGGAAGATAAATATACGTCAATTGGCATCAACAAAATAAGGAAAAAGGCCTGACTTAAATATTAATAAGGATTAAACATTATACTTAACATGAACAATTATGAAGAAGTTATAAGTGACAATGAAAAAACAGAACAACAAATAGTTAAATATTATATTGATATGGCGAACATGAGTACATGACACCTGTGAGTGTATAGTTGGTCAGCCTAAGTGTATGTCTGGCACTCAGTAGCAGTATATCCCTGTGAGTGTATAGTAAGTCAGCCTAAGTGTATGTCTACAACACTCCACTGGTACCTGTTTGGGCAGTTACTATTGGCATTAAGGCACATTCCTATGTTCGTTTCCTTAGTGTAGACTGCAGCGTGGAAGCCTCCATTCCTTTCCGTGACTGTTACATCTAGAGAGGGCAGCTTCCCATCACTTTCCATCTCGTAAGTAAAACTTACGAGATGTTCGAAAAGCGATAAAAGCTTGAATGCCTCCTTCAGCTGCTGCAAACGTCCGACATCAGGTACCTGTATAAATATGTCATCAACGTACCTGCAGTATATGGCAGGTTAAGTCCATGTCTAGTAAGACCCTCTGCTCTACGGTACCCATATATGAATTCGCAAATATAACACCTAGGGGAGAACCCATGGCGACACCATCTATTTGTTTATACATATGCCCATCAGGACTCAAAGGGATGCCTCTTTAGTGCAAGCTTCGAGTAACTTCCTCAATATGCTCTCTGGTATGTCCAGACGGGGTACCAGCTGGATCACAATACATCCTGACCATCATCATCCTGATTGATTCGTCCACAGGAACGTTTGTAAACAGCGACTCCACATCTAGAGAGGCTCTAATCTCTGTGGCCCGTGCGCCCTGAGATAAGTCAACAAATTCCTTTGGAGACTTTTGGCTAAGAAGCACAAGGCACATAAGAAGTCAGCAGGCAGTCGAGTCACTTGGCCAGTCTGTATGTGGGTATGGGTATCTGGCTGATGATTGGCAGAAGTGGGTTTTCAGGTTTGTTGGTCTTGACATTCCTATATGCATAACTAGATTTCTGTTCCGCGGTAACCTTTGACAGGTGAAGTCCAGATTTTTTGGCGTTCACAGTTTCAATCAGTCTGTTTATCTTCGTTTTCATTTCGGCTGTTGTGTTCCTCATGACCCTTTGGAATTTAGTTTGGTCGGAGAGGATGAGGTTCATTTTTGCCAGATAGAATCAGCCCATAACAACTGTCTAACTCCCAGGTACCTATTTACTGCTAAGTGAACAGGTGTATTAGGGTGAAAGAAACTCTTCCCATTTGTTTCCGCCATCGCTGGGACTCGATGCCAGGTCCATAGGATTACGAATCCCGAGCGCTATCCACTCAGCTAACAGGCTCCCAGCTACATGCGCTATATAGTGGTAATGGCTTGACGGTTTCTCCTAATAGTTCCCTTCCCCGTACCGTCATCAGAGAGGAAGACAAAGAGTGGAGGGAGAAGTAATGTGGTGAGTGAGGCAGCGCCCGAGAAGGGGACTTACCGTCATCAGAGAAGGAGAAGTAATGTGGTGAGTGAGGCAGCGCCCGAGAAGGGGACTTACCGTCATCAGAGAGGAAGACAAAGAGTGGAGGGAGAAGTAATGTGGTGAGTGAGGCAGAGCCAGAGAAGGGGACTTACCGTCATCTGTGTGCTCGGTGGCTGTGGAGTCCCGGCGGGACTGGTGTGGCTCGGTGGGTCCGCTGACGGTGGAGCTGCGACGCGAGTGTCCGCTGGATGGCTGAGATAACAGTGGTGACGACGGCAACTGCGACACACAACATGTTTGCAACATTATAGAAAATATTGAATAAGATAGCAACACAAATAATAACATCCCTAGTCCTCAAACTGATATATGCATAATTCTTAATAATATGCAAAAAAAAAAAATTATAGTGTCTCTGCAATTATCTGAGGGATCCGATTGGAGACTTCACAAGTTGATTCATTATACATAACAACGCTAATTTATTGACAGCGGTCAGGGTCTTCTTGAATAATTAGTCCCAAGAAATTTCATAAATTTCATAGGATTGTAGAACCATGGTGCTCTACTACCTTGAGGATAACCTTGCACCATGGTGCTCTACTACCTTGAGGATGACCTTGCACCATGGTGCTCTACTACCTTGAGGATGACCTTGCACCATGGTGCTCTACTACCTTGAGGATAACCTTGCACCATGGTGCTCTACTACCTTGAGGATAACCTTGCACCATGGTGCTCTACTACCTTGAGGATAACCTTGCACCATGGTGCTCTACTACCTTGAGGATAACCTTGCACCATGGTGCTCTACTACCTTGAGGATAACCTTGCACCATGGTGCTCTACTACCTTGAGGATAACCTTGCACCATGGTGCTCTACTACCTTGAGGATAACCTTGCACCATGGTGCTCTACTACCTTGAGGATAACCTTGCACCATGGTGCTCTACTACCTTGAGGATAACCTTGCACCATGGTGCTCTACTACCTTGAGGATAACCTTGCACCATGGTGCTCTACTACCTTGAGGATAACCTTGCACCATGGTGCTCTACTACCTTGAGGATGACCTTGCACCATGGTGCTCTACTACCTTGAGGATAACCTTGCACCATGGTGCTCTACTACCTTGAGGATGACCTTGCACCATGGTGCTCTACTACCTTGAGGATTACCTTGCACCATGGTGCTATACAACCTTGAGGATAACCTTGTACCATGGTGCTCTACTACCTTGAGGATGACCTTGCACCATGGTGCTCTACTACCTTGAGGATGACCTTGCACCATGGTGCTCTACTACCTTGAGGATGACCTTGCACCATGGTGCTCTACTACCTTGAGGATGACCTTGCACCATGGTGCTCTACTACCTTGAGGATAACCTTGCACCATGGTGCTCTACAACCTTGAGGATGACCTTGCACCATGGTGCTCTACAACCTTGAGGATGACCTTGCACCATGGGTGCTCTACAACCTTGAGGATGACCTTGCACCATGGGTGCTCTACAACCTTGAGGATGACCTTGCACCATGGGTGCTCTACATGATGTCGACATTTTATTATGGTACTCTGAAACCTTGCGATTACCATACCCATGGTATGGTAACTCAACCACAAGCTTGAGGGCAACCTTTAACTATGGAACAATAATCTCGAGGGTGACCTTGCTAACCTTGGCATCTGGGTCGTCCTCCTCTTGAATGGTGTTGTCATCGGGGGAGTCGTCACACTCCTGGTAGAACCAGATCATGTTGTTATGCTGGCCAGGCATCAGGAACTTGCTGATCTCCTCCAGCTGCCAACACACACACACGTTAGTGGCGCCACAATTGTCAAACAAGATCTCCCTGTACTGTACTGCGGCACAAGAACAGTTGAAAGGTGTCCTTCCTAGTAGAGTACTGTGTCGTCCCCAATAGTGTACAGCGTCATCCCCAATAGTGAACTATGTCATTCTTAGTACTGAACTGTGTCATTCCTAGTTTGTGTACTGTGTCATTCCTCGTAGTATACTGTGTCATTCCCAATAGTGTACTGTGTCATTCCCAGTAGTGTACTGTGTCATTCCCAGTAGTGTACTGTGTCATTCTCCAACCCGTTCTCGCACTTGCTTCAGTCAATATTGGCTTATTTAATAAGTGCATATGTGACATACTAATTGACTGTGAATATTTTAGTTTACCTTGAATAGCTTCATAGAAAACACCAACCTCACCTAACCTTCTTAGTATGTTAAGATAAGCATCTCATTGCTTCTTATTTACAATTATTACTTAACCAATCAACGGTATAGGTTAAATAATAATTGTAATTAAGAAGCAATAAGATACTTATCTTAACATACTAAGAAGGTTAGGTGAGGTCGGTGTTTTCTATGAAGCTTTTCAAGGTAAACTAAAATATTTACAATCAATTAGTATGTCACATATGCACTTATTCATAAACCAAATATTGTCTATAAGCAAGTGCGAGAACGGGTTGGACTAGAAGATTGGCTGGACATTTTTATCAGCTAAAGGTTTTTTATTCATTTTATTTTGCATGCTTATTTTAAATTAGCAGTATAATATTTTTATTACTCATATCATTATCAATCCCTGGTATTTACCCCACAGATGTATTGCATTTACATAATTGAATTCTTAAATTGCACGAGGAAAGAAAATCAGGATAACATCATTAAATAATTACAATCGTGAGTTAAATTTATGATAACCCAGGAACTCGGTAACTGTAACACTTCTTGAGTTATTTTGTGTTTCAGAACCTTGTGACACTTGCAAGATCTAAGCCAAGACCTTCCGATGAGAAAGAAATGAAGAAGAAATGCGGAGGAGTGAAAAGGGAGACAAAGTGAGAGGAGAGAACTTGAGAGAGACGTGTAAGACGCCGAGGACTTACCAGGTTCTCTTCGAAGACGTGGTCCATGACCTGGTGCCTGGCGATGCCTGTGCAGGCCGCCAGCACCTGGAAGATGTACTCATAGCGAGGGTCAGTATCGCCTCGACGGGCACGCCGCTCCTGCTCCTCTCGACGCTTCTGCTCTCGCGACGAGGGACGAAGGGGACGACGTTGTGGGGAAAGAAGACGAGGGAGAGGATTGGGGGGTGGGGGATGGAGAGAGGCAGAGGAAGTGGCAAGGAAAGAGAGCAACAAGTGAAGAGGAAATGGAAGGAAGTGAGGGTGGAACAGACAAAATGCAGAGGAATGAAAATGGTGGAAAAGTGAGAGAAACAGATAAAGAGAATCAAAGGGAGTGAAGGATGGAGGAACAGATTAAGAGCGGTAGGAGGGATGAGGGAGAAGAGGGGCAGAGAGGAAGAGAGACACGAGAGAGGAAAGATGTATGAGGAATGGACGGGATCATTGCGGAAGATGACAAAATACATTAATTCCATTATATATATATAATTTTTATTGTCAACATTTATTTGCAAATTATCTAATGTTTAGGCCTTTGATATATACTCATGAAGCTATTATACACAATGTACACTGATATAATCTACACTTGAAGAGGAGACATAGTCGGGCAGGCGTGATGCAGCGGGCGGTGAGAACACCACAATGTGGACTAGCTTATAGTGTTGATGTGTGCAGCCACCACCACACGTGATGGTGAGAGTTCAGTGAACACTAATGTATGGTGCGAGGGGAAGCCTACTTACTGTGGAGCATGCAGTCATGTCAACACCTATTGCCCGTCCACATGCTCCGTGTCTCACACAGGCACGCATGGGCACGTACTGCCCGTCCACATGCTCCGTGTCTCGCACAGGCACGCATGGGCACGTACTGCCCGTCCACATGCTCCGTGTCTCACACAGGCACGCATGGGCACGTACTGCCCGTCCACATGCTCCGTGTCTCACACAGGCACGCATGGGCACGTACTGCCCGTCCACATGCTCCGTGCCTCACACAGGCACGCATGGGCACGTACTGCCCGGCCACATGCTCCGTGCCTCACACAGGCACGCATGGGCACGTACTGCCCGTCCACATGCTCCGTGCCTCACTGGTGCACAGGTAGCAAGAGGAACACAGGTGCAGGTTACAGGCAGTGGTACAGCAACGTCTAGAAAATGCTGTACTATGCAAAATATCTGTTTACAACTTTCCTCGTGAGCATGCACGCTCGCGCCAGTACAGGGAGTCACAGGTCATGTCAGTTGTCGCTTATAATTCAATAATTAGAATTAGTGAATTGCTAAAATTATCATGAAACTACATTATTATGAAAGAAATTGGCGTGACAGTGTATGCCAGTGTCATAGTAACCATAAGACGTAATAATGGTCAATGATGATGAATACTATAATGATGATGAGTACTATAAGGCACGTCAATGTGCCTTAATGTTAGTAGCGAGAGGATTGACTGGTCAATAAGTGTCATCAACAGCGTCATCAACCGTGTCTTTACACACAGCATCAGTTTGAAGCAGAGCGACCAGGATCTCAGCAGAGTAAGGCAGATCCTTGTCAACAATGGTAATTTTAACATATATGTCGAAGAAATCATAAAAAAGAAAGTGAGCACCGTGTTCCTTTGATGAAGAGATCAATACTACAACACCAACTTAACTCATTTACGCGAACGGCTTTCCAACAGCCCAGAAGACAGAGGAGAACGCCATGAGGGACATCATGTGCAGTAACGTGACTACTACTAACGGTTATCAACGGGTATATTTCACTACAAGAAGTTACTTCAGAATTATGAATGTTGTTTGGTCCTTTGTGACCAGTTGGGACCCTCTCATCCCCAGCGATCTCAACACATAGACATGATGACACCCTGGAGCCGGTCGGCCGAGCGGACAGCACGCGGGACTTGTGAGCCTGTGGTCCTGGGTTCGATCCCAGGCGCCGGCGAGAAACAATGGGCAGAGTTTCTTTCACCCTATGCCCCTGTTACCTAGCAGTAAAATAGGTACCAGGGTGTTAGTCAGCTGTCACGGGCTGCTTCCTGGGGGTGGAGGCCTGGTCGAGGACCGGGCCGCGGGGACACTAAAAAGCCCCGAAATCATCTCAAGATAACCTCAAGATAGATAACCCTCCCTTTCAAGGTGTTTAATAATACACAAACATAAAGACTTTATCAAGAATCACATCATTACCCATAACCAGAATATCACTGTCTATATCCTAATATTCGATCTAAACGTAGTTGACAGATACAACAAAAATAAAAGATAAAGCATAGCCGAAGTCCTATATATCACACAATCTCATTAAGCATTTTACCGTCAGCTCACACTTCAGTACATTCTAACATAGACGCCACTATGTATTCTTTTTCTCCTGCCATGGTAAATGTTAATAAATGTTTCACCGAACAACTTCCTTAAGTGATACGAATAAGGTTCATTAACATCATAAAATTAACTTTGATAACATCATAAATTAAATTTTAATGTAAAAAATTGATAACATCATAAATTAAATTTTAATGTAAAAAATAACTGTGAACAGCCACAATTAAAAAATATTCCAGAAGCACACACTTTAAAAGGACTCCTTTTTTTCTAATGAAAAGATAAATTTTTCATTCCATTATATATGATTTCAATTTCATGTTATTTGAGTCAAAACTAACATAGAAACTCAATCAAACCTAACCTACCCTAACCTACCTAACCCAACCTATCTTAACCTAGCATAACCTAATATAAATAAATCAGTAATTCAAATTCCAAAAATAATAGATTATATATATTTATAATATATATATATATATATATATATATATATATATATATATATATATATATATATATATATATATATATATATATATATATATATATATATATATATATGTCGTACCTAATAGCCAGAACGCACTTCTCCGCCTACTATTCAAGGCCAAATTTGCCTAATAAGCCAAGTTTTCATGAATTAATAGTTTTTCGACTACCTAACCTACCTAACCTAACCTAACCTATCTTTTTCGGCTACCTAACCTAACCTAACCTATAAAGATAGGTTAGGTTAGGTTAGGTAGGGTTGGTTAGGTTCGGTCATATATCTACATTAATTTTAACTCCAATAAAAAAAAAATTGACCTCATACATAATGAAATGGGTAGCTTTATCATTTCATAAGAAAAAAAATTGAGAAAATCTATTAATTCAGGAAAACTTGACTTATTAGGCAAATCGGGCCTTGCATAGTAGGCCGAGTACGACGTTCTGGCTACTAGATACAACACACACACACACATATATATATATATATATATATATATATATATATATATATATATATATATATATATATATATATATATATATATATATATATATATATATATATATATATACATATATATATGTCGTACCTAGTAGCCAGAACGCACTTATCGGCCTACTATGCAATGCCCGATTTGTCTAATAAGCCAAGTTTTCCTGAATTAATATATTTTCTCAATTTTTTTTCTTATGAAGTGATAAATCTACCCATTTCATTATGTATGAGGTCAATTTTTTTTTATTGGAGTTTAAATTAACGTAAATATATGACCAGACCTAACCAACCCTACCTAACCTAACCTAACCTATCTTTATAGTTTAGGTTAGGTTAGGTAGCCGAAAAAGTTAGGTTAGGTTAGGTTAGGTTAGGTAGGTTAGGAAGTCGAAAAACAATTAATTCATGAAAACTTGGCTTATTAGGCAAATTGGGCCTTGCATAGTAGGCTGAGAAGTGAGTTCTGGCTATTAGGTACGACATATATATATATATATATATATACATATATATATATATGTCGTACCTAGTAGCCAGAACTCACTTCTCAGCCTACTATTCAAGGCCCGATTTGCCTAATAAGCCAAGTTTTCCTGAATTAATATATTTACTATAATTTTTTTCTTATGAAATGATAAAGCAACCCTTTTCTCTATGTATGAGGTCAATTTTTTTTTATTGGAGTTAAAATTAACGTAGATATATGACCGAACCTAACCAACCCTACCTAACCTAACCTAACCTATATTTATAGGTAAGGTTAGGTTAGGTAGCCAAAAAAAGCTAGGTTAGGTTAGGTTAGGTAGGTTAGGTAGACGAAAAAACATTAATTCATGAAAACTTGGCTTATTAGGCAAATCGGGCCTTGAATAGTAGGCTGAGAAGTGCGTTCTGGCTATTAGGTACGACATATATATATATATATATATATATATATATATATATATATATATATATGTCGTACCTAGTAGCCAGAACTCACTTCTCAGCCTACTATTCAAGGCCCGATTTGCCTAATAAGCCAAGTTTTCCTGAATTAATATATTTACTATAATTTTTTTTCTTATGAAATGATAAAGCAACCCTTTTCTCTATGTATGAGGTCATTTTTTTTTTATTGGAGTTAAAATTAACGTAGATATATGACCGAACCTAACCAACCCTACCTAACCTAACCTAACCTATATTTATAGGTAAGGTTAGGTTAGGTAGCCAAAAAAAGCTAGGTTAGGTTAGGTTAGGTAGGTTAGGTAGACGAAAAAACATTAATTCATGAAACTTGGCTTATTAGGCAAATCGGGCCTTGAATAGTAGGCTAAGAAGTGCGTTCTGGCTATTAGGTACGACATATATATATATATATATATATATATATATATATATATATATATATATATATATATATATATATATATATATATATATATATATATATATATATATATATATGTGTGTGTGTTATTAAATATGACCGAAAAAGTGAGATTAATAATTCTAACACGAATTTTCTCAATATTTCTAATGTTTCTTTTTACTGTCAATGGTAATTGAAAAATCAATTCTTCAAAATTCATTTTTATTTCTAGTCTGACGCGATGCTTGAACGCGTTTCGTAATAACTTATTACATTTTCAAAGACTTTAGTTTTCACTCACAACTGTAACCTAAAACACTAAACAGAGTTTACTTATACTAACACTAAACAGCTTATCCGTCTTACATATACTCGCACTTGGGTGAGGAGATATGGTGCAACAGTTTTGGGTGAGGTGAACATATTTGTGACAAATGGAAGAAAGAACACGAAATATTGGGTATTAGTTGAATATGAGAGCATAAGAATGGAAGTAAATGCAGAGGGCCTTTTGGCCCTTACTTCCTCTTGATGCTTCAATATTGGTTCGGAGACTTGAAGTGGGTAGAATATAGTTGTGCATTAATTGGCTGTTGATTGCTGGTGTTGGCTTTTTGATGTGTTGTGCCTTGCAGATGTTGAGCTGCTTGCTATCGCTGTACCTATCGATGATTTCTGTGTTGCCTGTTAAGACTTCTGGTTGTTAAGGCATTCGAGCGGAATTCTGTGTTGAGTTTCACTTACGAGATGGAGAAGAATGGATAGCTGCCCTTTCTAGATGTGACAGTCATGGAAAGGGGTGAAGGCTTCCACACTGCAGCCTACACTAAGGAAACAAACATAGGAATGTGCCTCAATGCCAACTGTGACTGCCCAGACAGGTACAAGAGGAGTGTTATCAATGCTTATGTCGACCGTGCTCTCAGCCACAGCTCAGGATGGAAGCAAGTTGATGAGGAACTCTGTAGGGTAAGGCAGGTCCTAGTCAACAATGGCTTTTCTAATGGTTTTGTTGAAGACATCATAAGAAGAAAGGTAAAACGCCATGCAACCTCTGAAGAGTCAACTAACACAACGCATGTACCCCCTATTAGACTATTTTACAGGAACTTCGGTCAATCAACTCATGAAAAACTCTCCAGACACAAAGCAGAATGCCTTGCAAGAGGCCAACGTCGTCTATGCCTTCAAATGCCCACTTGGG